TTTTAAAGTGAAAAACACAACCCAAATTGTGTAGCTTTCTTTGTGTTTAGTGGAATTGCAATTTTTTCACTTTCTTCATCAATAATTTTTGCAAAACGAGATGCCATTTTGCCGAGAATCAATATTCTGAGATCAGTTTTAAAATATGGTCTCATATTCCGAGATAGCCAGCCAATGAGAGCGCGCGTTCTTATGAGGTTGTGAATGATGTATAAACTAAATAGAGGATATTACATGGATGCGCGGAGATACGGATTTTATCTTCGAGTGTTGAAAAGATCTCTCACGAGTGAGCGTAGCAAAGAGAAGATAAAATTCGTATCTCCAAGAGTAGTATTAGCGGGAGAGTTGGGACCCCTTTTTATTGGAAATGGCAATGGAAATGGATGGAAAAAATGGTAGAATACTAATGAGATGTTGGTAGAATACTAATGAGGTGCCCCGCGTTAGTAATTTATTCGAATTTAAGTCTTTTGTACACTTAATCTCAGAACAATAGTCCTTTTGTTCTCTATTGTTTCGCCTGAGCGGTTATTTATTGCWTSAATCTGKYCTGTTAGTCACTCTACGCTCTGACTGACTTGTAAGTTTCATATAACTTGTTGCTGTAATATTTCACGATGGAAGATAGAGAAATAGCAGAACGTGCTTTTCTGCTGGAACTGATATCAACGGTCTTGCAACTCTCATATACTTCRCGTTGCGATGATCAAATCKCCAAACTGGTCGATTCTTCGTGTGAAGGCTGTAAATTAAAACGTCGTGGTCAAGATCATCACCAGTGTATGATGATGGAAGACAATGAAGCATATCTCTTGTATAACGAGGCTAAACTGTTGGTGGATCCCAATCAAGTGTGGAAATTAGCCAGTGAAGTATGTGGCGAGCAGTACCTCGATTTTAACATTGACCCTTCATGGCGGGTATATATCTCAGACCTCTACAAACGTCCCTGGGAAACGGTCTTCGGATTTCGCCTTCAAATAAAATATGCGAATTCACGTCCTCAACAAATCCTTAATYCTTTAATGAGCCGTCCATGGAGGA